AATCCTAAAAACACAATCATTCTGAACGATGTCATCATCTCCAATGCCACCACCCAACTTAATGGCAAACTTTAAGCTAAAATGTGCCAACCCTTATATTCCTATTGTTGTCATGAAGCCTGAACATAAGCAGTTTTGATTTGAGTATCTTTAACTGATGGACAATAATGAAAAATGGGTCAGTTTTTCTAAATATCCAAGAAAACTGGATGAGAACTCACATTAAGTGATTCCAGAGCATTCATAGAGTTAATTGACACATTAAATATCATATAATTAGTTTAATTCTTAGCCTCAACATAATTCAGAGCAAAGGAAATGGCATATAACTCAGAAATGAACACAAAATCTGTGCAATCATACGCCACAGCAGAGACCATGGTTGAACCCTGGGTGTAGTAAGCATAATGTGTAATATTGTAACGAATGAGAATCCACAAACACATATGTAAGAGGAAAGAGTCATCCATGTGCTCCAGACAACAGTACTCTATGTATTCAAGAAGAATCTTTACTAGAACAGTGACATAGCTCACACCTACACAGGTGGCTTCCTTAATGTATTTGTTCAACTGTCACATACCTTATACAGCAGAACAATGAAATGGGTAATCATATTATTCCAATACAAGTCAAGACACCAGATACAGCCCCTACAGAGATCTGTGCAACTAAACTGTGAAAAAGTACTGGTAAATCATCACTTTGGTACACTATATGGATTATGGAATGCAGGATGGAACATTACAGCCTTACAATGGAGCCTTTTATAGTAGTAACTCTGCTGGAGGGCTATAGTAAAGAAGCAAGTTTATCAGACAGGACATGGACAGAAATGATGTTGTGGGGCTCCAGATTAGGTTTAATATAGCATGCTAATTCATTTCAAATATTATGGATGATTCAACACAGAATAAAAGAAGTTTTATAATAAGAACAAAAATCCAAAATTCCAGGTTCTTTTTTTCTACAACATAAGTAATTAGTAAAAAGTTACAGTAAGATATATAGAAACATTAAAAATGAAACACCCGTGAACTAGCAATATCACTGTTACAAGAAGAGCTGTAAAGAGTTTATTCACAGCAATGCAGCAAACTTGTAGTGAATTGCTTCAGCTTGTTACTATAAACATGTTACCACCAGTTAGTGTCAACAATGAGTCCAGAAAGACACAATTACAGTTAAATATTCTCTTCAACAACACAACTGTAAAAGTTTTAATCTACAAATTACCTCATTTTTCTCTGTTGCTCCATCATAGATATCTTCTTTCTCCTCTTTTATCATTTCAAACTTCAAAATGGTATGTAGAGATGTTTCTTTCATGTAATCAGGTTTTCCTGTAGCTAGAAATACAAACATTCCAGATTACTCTAAAACAAGAGTTTTTAACTTAGGCTTCACTAAATCATAATAAAAATCTATAAGATATATTTAGTTGAACATGATTCTTTTATAATTTCTAACATAATGTACTGATCCACAGAAAAGTATCAACATTCAGCAAAGGGGCACATTCTTAGGCACACACCAAGAAGCAAAAAATGCTAGATGGTCATCAGAATACAAGGTCATGGCAACTAGAACATTTAGTAAGAAAGTAAAAGAATGTGAAAATTAAGCACTATGGTGTATCCCTTCTTCACTGGAACTAAGAGACAACCATTGCATGATAGATGTCATGCTTCTAATAATTCCAAATATGCAGTGATAGTGAGAAACCAACCTAAATCCACTACCAACCTCCGGAGGCATCACTCTCTGATGGAATACCAACACAGCAAATGGAATAGCATCTAGAACACTTGTAGAAGTAAATGTTTATTTCATAGATGGATGAAGCTCATTAAACACACAGTCATATGCTATAAGAGAACATGTAGATTTTGGTTTTTAAAGCACTGTAAGTGATCTTAACTATTAAAATTTTGACTGGCCTGAAAAATAATATAAAAAAATGGGATTTGGCAATTGTTGAGATTAACCTTTACAAAGTACATTCTGAAGAGGTTTGTCAGTTCATCAGCAGCTTTCAGAAAACTTTGCTAAATAAGTTAATTTGTTATGAAAGTATTTGTCATGAAGTCAAACACTGTTGCAAGAAGTAACCTCTGCAGTAATGCAAGTGATTGAAAGAGAGTTGGTGAGATAGCATGAGGGAATGTGGAAAGTTCTTAGTACTATAGTGGTAACTCCCCAATTTTTATATATACTAACAATTCATGTAAACACTATTTTTTTTCAACTTTTCAAATATACAATTTTCAAAATTTTTCTCAGTGTTATTCATTAACTGCATTAATACAAATATTTGTTTTCCTTATATAATTCTGCGTACCAGAAATCTTCTAAAAGTTATATGATTTGCTATTTCTAATGTTAAACTGAACTGTACTCTTAACTGCTAAGACATTCACCAGGTTACGTTGTTAGCAATTTCGATGAAGCACAAGAAAGCTGGAAGCAGCCATTTTGGGTTCTCACAACTGTTGCAGGTAAGACTACTATTTTATTTATTTTAGATTCAGAGGGAGACATGGATGAGGAGCTGTGGATTCAACAAAACCTAATCTGCTGCAGCAAATATAATGAAGAAAAAAACCATTACTGAAATTCATATTTTGGAAAGAAATAAATTCACAAATAATATTTTATTTTCTAAGGGTAGAGTAGTTCTCATGATGTGAAGCTCTTA